AACGAAGGTGTCACGCGCTGGGAAGGGGCTTGAGAATCAGACCTCAGCAATGTCGGACAAGTTCATTCTATGAGTAGGTGGGTTAAGTTTGGTATTTCCCGCATTAACTCACGTCGGTTATCTGTACCTTTTCTCCTAATACCGATTGTCATATTGCCCCAACTTTGGATGCGATCGTTCAGCCACTGCGTTTATCTGCATAGCCCAGAAAATCCTATGGGGAACAACTCACCAGACACTTCCCTCTCCAAAATAACGTCGTCCAATATATGACGTCATCAAGTTCCGAGCGAATATTCGAATCTCCAGAAATGACGTCATGAAAGAACAATGCTTTATCTTGAAATAAACACACTTCGTTCTTCATTGCTCTTTGCGATTTATCGCGTAGGTTTCTTATATTCCAATATAACGTTTGAACATCATATCCTGTATTCAATTTGAAAAAGAAATATGTTTGTTTTTGTTTACAGAGTGACATATTTAATGGCATACATACACGTTTCCAAACCATACACTGTTCGGGATCAATGAAAATAACGGAGGGACACACGGTGTATATATAATATAATATTTCGCCATCACAAGTAATTCATAAGGATAGTGTGGTCTGATGTGAAGTGTAGTGAATTGGACGCACGGACGAAAGGAAAACGCATAATGTCTTTACCTTCTCTTTCATCTGTGCCCCTTCTTGCTGTTTGTATGTGAACTATTTCACCCTAAAGTTTCTAGTGATGAGATACTATAAACACCCGGCTTCCTTTGATTAATTTAACGAAAACGCCTGTTCAGGAAAAAACACAACAGTATCTGCCCCTGTTTGTGGTCAGTGCCTACACCCAAACACGGCAGAACTGCAACCTTGATGTACGGCAACGTTTTCTAGTCGGCCCCTTCTCCCGCCAGGGGACGAAGTACCTGTCATCTGGGACAATATTAACTTCTGGTAGTGACTTCACCGAACGCGAACATAACTATACAGGAAGACAATGCACAAAACACGACATTATCTGCCCCTGTTTGTGGTCAGTGCCTACATCCATTCTCAGCAGGACCACGACCTTGGTCTGAGGCATCATTCAACTCTCCCGCCGGGGGGCGGGGCATCTGTCACGAAGGTCAATATTAATTTCCGGTAGTAACGAATGTATAAATACATGACATCTCAAGCAATTTACAAAACATCCGATAACATCAACCTTTCAGTATCTACTTGTATTACTATACATATTCACAATGAATGTGACAGCCGTCCTTGCTTCTCTCCTGCTTGGTGAGTACATCCAAACTGTGTTGTCATTACTTGTCAATCTTACATCGCTGTAATGGAAGACACCTAAGCATAGTTTAGATTGGTTTGCCTCATTTCGAAACTCACCAATAATCCCGTGGGAAAACAAATCTCGCTTGCTTCCGATATTAATTATATAAAGTAAATTATCAAATCTCTATACGTGGGTCGTGTCTGATTTAGTTAATTAAAATCAGTTAATTCATACTTAATTTCTTTTCTTGCAGCTGCCGTGTCCATGTTTCAAGGCGCTATTGGGCACCATCATCATCATCATCACGGTCACCATCACGGTCATCACCATGGGCACCACCACGGTCACCACCATGGGCACCACCACGGTCACCACCACGGTCACCATCACGGTCACCACCATGGGCACCACCACGGTCACCACCATGGAAAATAGATGGTGCATATTTCTGAATTGTTTTTATGTTTTATGTAAATGATTTTAAACCATATTTTTTAAAATTTGGTTATGATCAATAATAATTCCGGGTCAATACATTGGAGTTATTACCGTTCAATAATAACGCTCATATTTCATTTAAAAACTCTATTACATACATATAATTACTTGAGTATTTTTTGCTTTCCAGAGACGTTTGGGAACTCGATGCTTCTCACACAATATGTTTTCTACCTCATCTTTGCAGTCGAATAAAGTTCATATGATTCTTATTTAGGATGTCGTTTTTGGTAACAACGGAAATAGCATGAACAACTAGAGTTTGTGGTGTCTCTCTGTAGAAACCATCCGTGTCCCGTGACACCACCCAGGCCCCAAGACAACACCCACTTCTTGTGGCACCATCAATTCCCCGTGCTCCACCTATGCCCAAAGACACAACTCATATCCCATGGCACCTCCATTGTCCTGTGACACAACCAGAAAAGAACAGAACTGGATTTATTCAATATTTTAGGCCATATGGTCCATAGTACAATTGTAATAGAACATTCTAAAATGTCATATGACAGTGTCAAATAAAGAATTTATATAAACGTAGTGCAAACATATGTTTTAGAGTATCAGTATTTGTAGCATACTGAAGGCTATATAGGGGCACGGTTGGCCCAGTAGTCTATGGCGCCGCAATTGCGTCCCTTGGAAAGGCAAGAAACCTATGATCGTGGTTTCAAATCTCAGATCGTCTCAATTATGTTTCTAGATTTGTAAGCACCATACCCGTGCTCCTGGGTTTCATCAAAGTGGTAAACGTCTGAGGCCCGCTGGCTGCTTCACTTCCGACATTAAGCTGCCACGCCATGACATAATTGGAATACTGTTCCAAGCGGCGTTAAAGTAGAGCGCATCTAACTTTCCAGAACGCTCGTATTATTGTTTGCAGTTTTGAAACTATACATCTGTTACCCATTGTCTAAAGGTATGTAAAACCATCGACACATTTCCGAAGTACTGACTTAGCCATACAAGTGAAAAAACACAGGAAAACAATAAATGTCCTACATCCGACACCGAGACACAACCTAACACCGACCATGCCCCGTCTCAACAACCATGTCCCATGAGACCATCAATGCCCAGTGACACAAACCATGCTCAGTGACAAAAGTCAGTTTGGGGAAGGGGGAAGGCATACCTATGTTCTTTGTCAAGAAGTCACAAGTCACTGGTCATTTGGCCGCTGCCTTGAAGACCTCTCTCGATTATATATATTATAAGTTGTGTACCCTTTAGATGGACCTGTGCTGTCAATCTAGAAGAATTCTGTTGAGAACCGACATCTACTCGCGATAACTACTTCGAAACTGTTACTTTTAATACGTAACTCATAATGACAATGTAAATATATGCATGAGAAAATATACATTTGTATTCGAAGTAACGGTTACCCATGTGCAAATTGTATTTTTATGTCGGTCTACATGTGCACACAAGTATACATTTTCATATATTTTTCCATATAATCACGGGCATACAAACAGGCCTTTTTCATGTACAGAGATATTAATTAGGACAATCAGGTCATTCGCATAAGACGTTGTTAAGCTTTGGTATGGACCATGTCGTTCACAACTGTCTATTTTAGTTTATAAACGGTCTTTGTTGAGTTTGTAAACTCTATTCTGATGCTAGATTAAATACTTCCCGCTCTAACAAATAGAAAATGAATAGCATTTCGTTTGTGCTGAGACCCGCGACTTTTGTCTGTTTTTCTTCTTATTAAACCGCAGTATTACGGCCCGGGGGAAACAAGTCTCCCATCAAGTAAGGAGAGTCAGGTTGTTAAGTTTTGGTATGATTGTGTCTGGTGACGACAGTATGTCAATGCAACATTCTGTAAACTTTCAGTATCATCTTTATGGTAACAAATATTCAAGTACAATGTCTCAGAATTTGGTAAAGCAGTTTTTAAGATTTAAGGTAATGGATTTTCGCAACATGGCCAACAATTCCCAAAGCGGAATACAGACGATGATTCCCAACAGAAACTTCCACACGCACGAAGTTTCAGCTCAAGTACTATGATAGTCTTACTTCTGAAGTAAAAGGCATAATTTAAACTGAATTCTGTTGTAGAGCTACGTGTCCTTCCTCAAAATGTGAAGCTTCAACTTCCTTGAGAAAATGATGATTAATAATGTTCCGAAATTGAAGAAGATTTGTGTTGTCAACATATGTTTAAGCTCGACGCCAAGAAATGATAACTGTCAAATGATGGCCCTTCCATTCTATGAACAAATCAAGTCCGACACATCTCATAGAGATTTATCTGTCTTGGTCGTATGGTCTCTTTGAAGAAGATTCTTCAAATGTTCACAGAGTTACAGCTCGACGACTATGGCAAGTTAGATGCATGATTCTGACTGAGCGATGTTACAGTGATGCATGTCCTTCCAAACAAATGTCAGCATTATTGCCTTTAATAAACAGAAAATGGTTCTTAATAATTTTCCTAAATTGAAAAATATGTTTCTTTCCAAGAGAAGAAGCAATGAAATATTTTTAAACCCGGAATTCCATGAAATTATAATAGTCAAATCACACGGTCCTTCAGTTCTATAAAGAAATCAAAATTTTACGCAGATAAGCTGCTTATCTGTAGCTCTGCATATATACGTAGTTTCTTAAGATTCTTCACAATTTAATTTTCATCATTACAATATCTTCCAATTTGATTTTAAGGAGAAGGAGTCATATTATCATGCAAGACATGTCCTCAAGATGACAGGCTAATTTCTTAAATCAAAGTGACAAAACCATTTCCATATACAAAGGAGAGTCGATTGTACGATTGCGACTTTATCATAAGCGTACGAATGACTCGTATGAATTACTCTGAAATGGTGATTGTACGAAAGGTGAGATTAAGCTTTTCGGAGTAGAAATCCTAAGTTAATGAACGGACGGACAGGCATAGAAAAACACGTCATATATTAAACTTCTCATTGTCATGTGCACCCTCTTTCTGTTTATTTCTTAGTCAGCTTCCTTTGATTAATTCACAGAACACGAACACACCTGTACAGGAAAAAAGAAGACATTATCTGTCTTTGTTTGCGGTCAGAGCCTACACCAAATCACAGCAGGACTGAAACCTTGATGTACGGCAACGTTGTCTAGATCTAGTCGGTGAAGTCTCCCGCAAGGGGGCAGAGTACCTATCACGTGGATCAAAATTAACTTCCGGTGGTGACCTTCCTATAAATACATGACATCTTATACGACTAACAAAACATCCACCAACTGCAATCTTTCAGTATCTACTTGTATTACTATACATATTCACAATGAATGTGACAGCCGTCCTTGCTCCTCTCCTGCTTGGTGAGTACATCCAGACTGCGTTGTCATTACTTGTCATTCCTACATCGCTGTAATGGAGGACACCTTGCGTTACACATGCATTGTTCAAGTGAGCCGTGTGTAAGGTTAGGCTGGTTTGTGTCATTTCCAAACTGACCAATAACTTAATGTAATTGCACGTGATTCTTCCTATGTCAGAACTAATACCATTTTTCACCCTTTTCTTCACGGTCATTCTATATTCTCCTATGACCATGTTAAAACGGCATAATGACATCCCTGGGAAACAAGTTTCGCTCCTATATTTATTGTCTTTAAATCTCTATACGTAGGTTAAGTCTGTCTTTAGCTCATTAAAGTAGGAATGTGGGATTTCACAATAACTGAAAAATAAACGTGACCAAATTGTTTTTTTCTGCACAGCTGCCGTCGCCATGTTTCAAGGCGCTAATGGGCATCATCATCATCATCATCATCATGGGCACCACCACGGGCACCACCACGGGCACCACCACGGGCACCATCACGGAAAATAGATGGTCTATATTTTTGAATTATTGAAATAATATTCTCATTTTGATAAAAAAATATATTAATATTTATGGTAAGAAATTTATATCTTTACCTTCAATAAGAACTCTAATTATTCACTAAGTAATACTATGTCATATTTACGTAAGTATTGTTTGCTTTCCAGAGACGTTTGGGGACTCATCGAAACATATTGATGCATCATCTAACACAATATGTTTTCCATCTCAGCTGTGCTATCGAATAAAGTTTACATGATTCTTATTTATGATGTTGTTATTGGTCATAACGGAAAAGTTATGAACAAGATGCAATTACGTTACAGTTGCAACGATTTGAGTTTAAGTAACTCTCTACAGAAAACAACAATGCCTTGTCTTGTCTCATGACACAACCCATGTCCAGTGACTACACGCATGCCCTGTGACACTGCCCGTCCGGCCATTTGGCATTTGTCTTGATTTGAAGACAGCTTTGAATAAAAACGTTGTGAACCCAGAGATGGACTTTTGTTGCCAATCTAGCGCTATCGGGCAGAGTACCAACATCTTCTCGGGACAACCGTTTCGAAACTCTAAGTAACGGTTACACACTTGCAGATTGTACTTGTATGTCAGTCTACAATGTGCACACATATACAAATTTACATATGTTTCTCGATACATATCATGTTGTGCGAGACGAACGTAGAAGATATCTGTTACATATTGGTGCAAATTAATAGCATATGTTATGTCTAGAAACATTATACATTATGCGTGTACATATGGAAAGTTAACCATAAATTGCGTATACATGTCGTCAACCATTTCAAACATAGACGTGCTCTTGCTCAGCTTAATTCTGTTTCTCATAAACTACGAACAGAAAATGTCAGGTACATTGGAGGAGCTGGAAATGAGAGATTATGTCATATCTTTAAACTGCCATTAATAGAAGATGGCTATCACTTACTGACTTACTTGCTAACTTACTTACTCATCTGTCACAAATATCAGTTAGTGCAATGGTTGTACATTACTTTACACACTTACTGGAACAATTTTATGAATATGTAACAATCCCCAAATTTAATATGTTTATGTTATCACCAAATTTAATCATCTTAAAACATTTTTCGGTAAACAATATTGCGATGTTAGAAAATATACTTCCCGCTCCAACAAACAGAACTTTAATAGTATTTCATTAGTGCACGGAGTCGAGGCTTTTTTGTTATTTTTCTTCTTCATGGTCAAAATTCAAAATGAGCTGAGTGGTACATACACCCGGAACAAACACGATTCACTTACTTTATATTTAAGAAATACAAGTCGAGTGGGAGTTGTCTGTCTTACAACAAAACTCTGGAGAGAGAAAAATTCATGTTGGGCGCAGCCCCGAGTGGTTTATCCTCACTGCAGTGTTTTATTGTACGATAAACAGCAATCACTTTTTATAATTTTAATAGAGATGACTCCCCGCGGATCTCTCTATATTATCGCTGCCACCAGTGACAACTCCCCACTGTGATGGATGGCTGCAACCATGCTTGGAGTCGAACTCGCAGCCGACTGACAGTTATGTTCACAAACAAGTGATGGTTTCCGTGGCGTCGAATTTTCTTACCCCAGCTTAATTATTGTCTTTGTTTGTCAATTTGAATTTCTGTTTCATTACGACTATCATGTAATTGATATTGTAAGAATGTAAAGGGGACGTACGTTGATTTTCCGTTCGTCTGCAATCTCGAACCAATCTGATCAAACGAACAAAAAGGTAAATTCTTCTGGGAAATATGGTCAGTCGTGTGCACATATACAAATTTACATATGTTTCTCCATACATATCATGTTGTGCGAGACGATTGTAGAAGATATCTGTAACATATTGGTGCAAAGTAGTGAAAATGGTATATGTTATGTCAAGAAATGTTATGTAATATACGTGTGCATATGGAAAGTTAACCACAAATTGCGTATACATGTCGTCAACCATTTCAAACATAGACGTGCTCTTGCTCAGCTTAATTCTGGTTCTCATAAACTACGAACAGAAAATGTCAGGTACATTGGAGGAGCTAGAAATGAGAGATTATGTAATATCTTTAAACTCCCATTAATAGAAGATGGCTATCACTTACTGACTTACTTACTTAACTGTCACAAATATCAGTTATTGCAATTGTTGTACATTCCTTTATACAATTACTGGTACAATTTTAATGAATATCTAACAATACCCAAATTTAATATGTAACAATATGTAACCCAAATGTAACAATCTTAAAACATTTTTCGGGTAACAATATTGTGATAGAAAACACTTCCCGCTCCAACAAACAGAACTTAAATAGCATTTCATTAGTGCATGGAGTCGAGGCTTTTTTGTTATTCTTTTTCTTCTTCGTGGTCAAAATTCCAAATGAGCTGAGTGTTACATACACCCGGAACAAACACGAATCACTTACTTTATATTTAAGAAATACAAGGCGAGTGGGAGTTGTCTATCTTACAACCAAATCCTGGAGGGAGAAAAATCCACGTGGGGCGCAGCCCCGAGTGGTTTATCCTCACTGCAGTGTTTTATTGTACGAGAAACAATGACCATTTTTATAATTTTAATAATGATGACTCCTCGCGGAGCTCTCTATATTATCGCTGCCACCAGTGAAAACTCCCCACTGTGGTGGATGGCTACAACCATGCTTGGAGTCGAACTCGCAGCCGACTGACCGTTATGTTCACAAACACGTGATGGCTTCCGTTGCGTCGAATATTCTTACCCCAGCTTAATTATTGTCTTTGTTTGTCAATTTGAATTTCTGTTTCATTACGACTATCATGTTATTGATATTGTAAAAATGTAAAGGGGACGTACGTGGATTTTCCGTTAGTCTGCAATCTCGAACCAATCTGATCAAACAAACAAAAAGATATATTCTTCTGGGAAATATGGTCAGGCGTAAACCTTTTCCAAAATCAGGAACGATGGCATTCCCAAAGACATAAACAAAAGTATAACTGTTACCACATTTGTGCTTAAAGGGCAAATTCCAAGGTTATATTAATGGCCACGCCGACACTGGTGGCAGCGATGTTACCGAGAGGGTAACGAAGGTGTCACGCGCTGGGAGGGGGCTTGAGAATCAGACCTCGGCAATGTCGGACAAGTTCATTTTATGAGTAGGTGGGTTAAGTTTGCTATTTCCCACATTAACTCACGTCGGTTATCTGTACCTTTTCTCCTAATACCGATTGTCATATTGCCCCCACTTTGGATGCGATCGTTTAGCCACTGCGTTTATCTGCATAGCCCAGAAACATCTATGGGGAACAACTCACCAGACACTTCCCTCTCTCAAATAGCATCGTCCAATATATGACGTCATCAAGATCTGAGCGAATATTCGAATCTCCAGAAATGACGTCATGAAAGAACAATGCTTTTTTTTGAAAGAAACACACTTCGTTCTTCATTGCTTCCTTGCGATTTATCGCGCAGCTATCTTATATTTCCATATAAAGTTTGAACATCATATCCTGTATTCAATTTGAAATAGAAATATGGTTGTTTTTGTTTACAGAGTGACATATTTAATGGCATACATACACGTTTCCAAACTATACACTGTTCGGGATCAATGAAAATAACGGAGGGACACACGGTGTATATATAATATAATATTTAGGCATCACAAGTAATTCATAAGGATAGTGTGGTCTGATGTGAAGTGTAGTGAATTGGACGCACGGACGAAGGGAAAACGCATCATGTCTTTACCTTCTCTTTGATCTGTGCCCCTTCTTGCTGTTTGTATGTGAACTATTTCACCCACAAGTTTCTAGTGATGAGATACTATGAGCACCCGGCTTCCTTTGATTAATTTAACGAAAACGCCTGTTCAGGAAAAAAACACATTATCTGCCCCTGTTTGTGGTCAGTGCCTACACCCAAACACGGCAGAACTGCAACCTTGATGTACGGCAACGTTCTCTAGTCGGCCCATTCTCCCGCCAGGGGGCGAAGTACCTGTCATCTGGGACAATATTAACTTCCGGTAGTGACTTCACCGAACGCGAACATAACTATACAGGAAGACAATGCACAAAACACGACATTATCTGCCCCTGTTTGTGGTCAGTGCCTACACCCATTCTCAGCAGGACCACGACCTTGGTCTAAAGCAACATTCGACTCTCCCGCCAGGGGGCGGAGTATCTGTCACGTAGGTCTATATTAATTTCCGGTAGTAACGAATGTATAAATACATGACATCTCAAGCAATTTACAAAACATCCAATAACATCAACCTTTCAGTTTCTACTGGTATTACATATTCACAATGAATGTGACAGCCGTCCTTGCTTCTCTCCTGCTTGGTGAGTACATCCAGACTGTGTTGTCATTACTTGTCATTCTTACATCGCTGTAATGGAGGACACCTAAGCATAGTTTAGATTGGTTTGCCTCATTTCGAAACTCACCAATAACTTAACGTTAAAACACTCGTATTTTCCTTTTTCTGTAATAGGTTTCAAATAAAAAAATTGTTTTTGTCTTTCTTCACATGCATTCTAGGATGATTCTCCTATGAACATACTAAACTGCAAAGTGACATCCCGTGGGAAAACAAATCTCGCTTGCTTCCAATATTAATTATTTGAAGTAAATTATCAAATCTCTATACGTGGGTCATGTCTGATTTAGTTAATTAAAATCAGTTAATTCATACTTAATTTCTTTTCTTGCAGCTGCCGTGTCCATGTTTCAAGGCGCTATTGGGCACCATCATCATCATCATCATCACGGTCACCATCACGGTCACCATCACGGTCATCATCACGGTCACCATCACGGTCACCACCATGGAAAATAGATGGTGCATATTTCTGAATTGTTTTTATGTTTTATGTAAATGATTATAAACCATATTTTTTAAAATTTGGTTATGATCAATCATAATTCAGGGTCAATACATTGGAGTTATTACCGTTCAATAATAACGCTCATATTTTATTTAAAAACTCTATGTCATACATATAATTACTTGAGTATTTTTTGCTTTCCAGAGACGTTTGGGAACTCGATGCTTCTCACACAATATGTTTTCTACCTCATCTTTAAAGTCGAATAAAGTTCATATGATTCTTATTTAGGATGTCGTTTTTCGCAACAACGGAAATAGCATGAACAACTAGAGTTTGTGGTGTCTCTTTGTAGAAACCATCCGTGTCCCATGACACCACCCAGGCCCCAAGACAACACCCACTTCTTGTGGCACCATCAATTCCCCGTGACTCCATCCATGCCCAATGACACAACTCATATCCCATGGCACCTCCATTATCCTGTGACACAACCAGAAAAGAACAGAACTGGATTTATTCAATATTTTGGGCCATATGGTCCACAGTACAATTGTACTAGAACATTCTAAAATGTCATATGACAGTGTCAAATAAAGAATTTATATAAACGTAGTGCAAACACATGTTTTAGAGTATCAGTATTTGTAGCATACTGAAGGCTATATAGGAGCACGGGTGGCCCAGTAGTCTATGGCGCCGCAATTGCGTCCCTTGGAAAAGCAAGAAACCTATGATCGTGGTTTCAAATCTCAGATCGTCTCAATTATTGTTTCTAGATTTGTAAGCACCATACCCGTGATCCTGGGTTTCATCAAAGTGGTAAACGTCTGAGGCCCGCTGGCTGCTTCACTTCCGACATTAAGCTGCCACGCCATGACATAATTGGAATACTGTTCCAAACGGCGTTAAAGTAGAGTGAATCTAACTTTTCATAACGCTCGTATTAATGTTTGACAGTTTTGAAACTATACATCTGTTACCCATTGTCTAAAGGTATGTAAAACCATTGACGCATTTCCGAAGTCTTGACTTAGCCATACAACTGAAAAAACACAGGAAAACAATAAATGTCCTACATCCGACATCGAGACACAAACTAACACCGACCATGCCCCGTCTCAACAACCATGTCCCATGAGACCATCAATGCCCAATGACACAAACCATGCTCAGTGACAAAAGTCCATGCCCTCTCAGTTTGGGGAAGAGGGAAGGCATACCTATGTTCTTTGTCAAGAAGTCACACTGGCCATTTGGACGCTCCCAATAAATTATATTATACGTTGTGAACCCTCAGATGGAACTGTGCTGTCAATCTAGAAGTACCCTGTTGAAAACCGACATCTACTCGCGAAAACTACTTCGAAACTGTTACTTTTAATACGTAACTCATAATGACAATGTAAACATATGCATGAGGAAATATACATTTGTATTCGAAGTAACGGTTACCCAAGTGCAAATTGTATTTATATGTCGGTCTACATGTGCACACAAGTATACATTTTCATGTTTTTTCATATAATCACGGCATACAAACAGGCCTTTTTCATGTACAGAGATATTAATTAGGACAATCATTTCATTCGCATAAGACGTTGTTAAGCTTGGGTATGGACCAGGTCGTTCACGACTGTCTATTTTAGTTTATAAACGGTCTTTGTTGCGTGTGTAAACTATATTCTGATGCTAGATTAGATACTTCCCGCTCCAATGAATATAAGCATTTCGTTTGTGCTGAGACCCGCGGCTTTTGTCTGTCTTTCTTCTTATCAAACCGCAGTATGACGGCCCGGGGAAACAAGTATCCCATCAAGTGAGGAGAGTGAGGTTGTTCAGTTTTGGTGTAATTGTGTCTGGTGACGACAGTATCATGTCAATGCAACATTCTGTAAACTTTCAGTATCATCTTTACGGTAACAAATATTCAAGTACAATGTCTCAGAATTTGGTAAAGCAGTTTTTAAGATTTAAGGTAATGGATTTTCGCAACATGGCCAACAATTCCCAAAGCGGAATGCAGACGATGATTCCCGACAGAAACTTCCACACAGCTCAACTAATATGATAGTCTTAAATTTAATTCTGAAGTTAAAGGCATAATGTGTACTGAACCCTGTTGTGGTGCTACGTGTCCTTCCTCAAAATGTGAGCTTTATTGCCTTCAACTTCCTTGAGAAAATGATGATTAATAATGTTCCTAAAGAAGATTTGTGTTTTCAACATATGTTTAAGCTCGACGCCAAGAAATGATAACTGTCAAATGATGGTCCTTCCATTCTATTAACAAATCAAGTCCGACAAATCACACAAAGATTTATCTGTCTTGATCCAATGATCTCTTAGAAGGAGATTCTTAAAATGAAATGTTCACAAAGTACGGGTCGACCACTATGACAAGTTCGATGCATGATTCCTACTGAGCGATATTACAGTGATGCATGTCCCTCCAAACAAATTTCGACCGCCTCCGTAGTCTGGTGGTAGAGCGTCCGCCCGGAGAAGGTCCGGGGTTCGATCCCCGGCCGCGTCATACCAAACGACGCTAAAAGATGGTACTTGTTGTTACCCTGTCTGGCGCTCGGCATTAATGGGCTAAAACAAGGACTGGTCGGCTCGGAGTCAGTATACTGTGTCTGAGTGGGATATTCATGTTAAACTGCGGCATGGTATCTCAATGAGCTTGCACTATAAATCGGCATCAGTCCTGACTAGTACAAGCAGCCACACAGACACACACACGTACACGCACGTCGCTATATAGGTGCAATAATCTTGGACGCAACGTTAAACCCCATTTCACCTAACCTCACCAAACAAATGTCAGCATTATTGCCTTTGATGAACAGAAAATGGTTCTTAATAATGTTCCTAAATAGAAAAATATGTTTTTTCCAAGAAAAGAAGCAATGAAATATTTTTTAAACACGGAATTCAATGAAATTATAATAATCAAATCACATGGTCCTTCAATTCTACAAAGAAATTAAAATCATATTACATTTACAGAGCTCCAGATAACTTTTTGTGCAGTTGAGGTTTTACTCTCGGTTTTCTTTTTTAATTCAATGTTTCATTTGGTAACCAATATTTTTTCACTCATTTATTCATCACTCTATTGTGTTTTTCCCAAAATTAGTTAACATTTTAGGATTTAATTAAAATTCAATAATGTTTTAGATGTATATAACTGTTCCAAATACTAGTATATAGGTATTACTCGGAATATAAATTAGCTCGTAATTGTGTTTCTGAAATTAACTCCTTTGTACGCATGCTTGAAAAGCCTCATTGGGTATTTAGGCGAGCTGTTTTTATACATTTGAGTTTTTCGTTTAATGCATGCGTTTCTGTACGCAAGTTAATTGAAAGTAATTGGGGTTTGAATATTTGGAGTAGGGGGTATTTTACGCAGATACGCTGCTTACATGTATCTGTAGCTCTGCATATATACGAAGTTTCTTAAGATTCTTCACAATTTAATGTTCATCATTACAATATCTTCAAATTTGATTTTAAGGAGGAGGAGTCATATCATGCAAGACATGTCCTCAAGATGACAGGCTAATCTTAAATTAAAGCGACAAAACCCTTTCCATATACAAAGGAGAGTCGATTGTACGTCTGCGATTTTATCACGAGCAGGTGTTTATGAATCACCCTCAAATGGTGATTGTACCAGGTGTTCGCGAAAGATGAGGGTTTGCTATTCGGAGAAGAAATCCTAAGTTAATGAACGGACGGACAGGCATAGGAAAACACATCAGATCTTAATCTTCTAATTGTCATGTGCACCCTCTTTCTGTTTATATTTTAACAATTTCTCACTAAATTTCTAGTGATCAGATACTATCAGCAGCCAGCTTCCTTTGATTAATTCACAGAACACGAACACACCTGTACAGGAAAAAAGAAGACATTATCTGTCTCTGTTTGCGGTCAGAGCCTACACCCAATCACAGCAGGACTGCAACCTTGATGTACGGCAACGTTTTCTTGTCGGCGAAGTCTCCCGCCAGGGGGCAGAGTACCTATCACGTGGATCAAAATTAACTTCCGGTGGTCACCTTCCTATAAATACATGACATCTTATACGACTAACAAAACATCCACCAACTGCAACCTTTCAGTATCTACTTGTATTACATATTCACAATGAATGTGACAGCCGTCCTTGCTTCTCTCCTGCTTGGTGAGTACATCCAAACTGTGTTGTCATTACTTGTCATTTTTACATTGCTGTAATGGAGGACACCTTGCATTATGCTTCTATCTTTCTTCTTCATGATCATATAAGGATGCTTCCGCAGTGACTGTATTAAACTGCAAAATGACAGAACACAGATGAAAACAAGTCTCACTTTGTCATTCTTTTTTTAATTACGAATATGTAATTTCTCAAATACAATAAATAAAAAACCGACAGATAAACAAATACGACTAAAACATAATCAGTATTTGTTGTGAACTAATCATGTTTTTTTCTCGCTACAGCTGCCGTAGCCATGTTTCAAAGAGCTAGTGGGCACCATCACCATGGACATCATCACCATGGACACCACCATCATGGACACCACCACGGGCACCACCACGGAAAATAGGTGGTGCATCTTTCTCATTTGTTTCATCTTTACTGATATATTTGGTTTAAACACATACAAAACTTCGAGTCAGCCACTTTCAGTTTTTGTTCCGTTAAACAGAACCATAGTAGTACAGTTTGTAATATGTCATAAATGTTTATCCGATTATTTTTGGCTTTTCAGATACGTTTGGGGACAATGAAGAATTTTGATGCATCTCACGATGTGTGAGCTTTAAATTTGAATAAAGCAGACGATTCTTACTCACATAGTATGTCTTTGTTATTGTCATTAGGTTTTTTTGCGAGATAGCCTGAATAATATTGTAATTACGAGATAGTTAGTACGGAATTATTAATCTCTTTGGGTGATATTTGAAGTCTGAAATAGTCACCCATTGTTAATCATATTGTCAATTCTTAAAAGCTTCTTGTCAAAGTAAAGGAAAGGAAAATGAGTATGACAATGGAAATGTAAGTGTGACATTAGTACAATGAAAGGAATAGCCTACGACACCATCAACGCCATCCGATACACCATACACTGTGACACCAATCATGTTCTGTACACATCTCATGCCTCGTAACACCACCCAAGCACACTGACTGATTATATGTCACGCAACCATTCCACTTGTGTCGATGTTCCTGCTATCAACCATCGGTTTGTTGGGTTCAGGCTCGATCTAGCCGTTACAAGCATGCCTTGGCACAGACCTAATGTTGCTGACTAGGTGTAGCTCACAAACCCACTCTTGGCTCAACATGTAGCCACAAAGAAATTAGATGGTGAAGAAAGACAATTTGTAAGAACTTCGTTAATTTCAGCCACAGCATGTGGCCGGGACCATGGACAATTTATCGACTTTACAGTAGTTCGAAAAGTCCGAGTGCCGAAATCAGACCTAAGTGTCGATATGGTTTCTTTTCGACCATGAAGTTCCATCCTATTAAAAGTTGTTGCGAGTTAAAGGCACGAGTGTCGAACCCATGCCTTCGTGTTATGACGAGATGTCAGAAGGGACAACAAGCAGATGACCATTTATCGTAGAGCCAATTCTTGCCATATGTTTTACACTAGTGGAGGTTACGTCATCCATGGACTGCCCTTTGGGTAGCAGTTACAGTCCGTTTGACTCCAAATGAGAACGATGAATTGCAAAATAACTCGAAATCCAGAAAAGTGTATGAAACATCAATACGGTACTTGACCATGAATACCCTGTACCCAACAAAATCTGAATTTGGTTTATTGTAAGACCCATGACGGATGAAGTTCTTTAAGAAACTATCAAGTAATTTTGTATAGAAATGTGTACATGACACGTAGGGGGGACAAACCGTGGAAGGCACAGCGCAAGCACGGTCTGCACGTGCTACACAGTGACCGTGTTCATTCAATGACAAGATGCGTTTCTCAGCAGGTGTTAAACAGTTGATGTTGAATGTGTATGATTTCTTTAGAAGTGAAGCAGAAAGAGCAAAGCCTTTTTATGCAATTAATAAATTCTTGAAACGAGCTTCAAAAGCTCTTGGTATGTCCCCTCAGAAACTTAAAAATGTTGTTAGTCGACGAGATACAAATAGTCAGGCCAAGGAGGTAGGGAACATGTCAAAACCACGCAAGGTTGATAAATTAGACAGTTTTTAGAGGGATCAAGTCAGACGTGCAATTGTTAAACTACACTCAGAAAAAGAGTACCTGTCCCTAAGAATTTTGAAGAAACACCTTGAAACTGACCATGATTTACGTGTTACAAAGTACAAACTATGGCAGCTGTTGCATACATTTGGTTACAAATACAAAAAGATAACTGGAGAAAATAGGGCTGTGTTGTGTGAACGGTCTGACATTGTTCGTCTCCGAAATCATTACCTTCGTACCATCAAGCAGAAACGTGAAGAAGGATATGAGCCCGTCTTCTTAGATGAGACATGGGTAAATGCGTCACACACAGCCAGCAGTCAGTGGGTACCCAGTGGTGACTGTAAGGAGTCTGGTAGAAAGTTACCAACGGGAAAGGGTGAAAGACTCATAGTTCTCCATGCTGGTTCTGCTAGTCGGGTTTTTTTTCCCAGACTGTGACCTCGTCTTTAGAGCCAAGGCCAAAGACAACAGGGATTACCACACAGAAATGAACGGCAATGTATTTCTGGGGTGGGTGAAAGATAACTTAGTCCCTGCTTTGCCTACCAAGTCTCTCATTGTCATGGACAATGCACCGTATCATAGTGTGCAGGATCCAGAAAGCAAGACTCCAACCTCTAATAACCGTAAAGGAGACATGGTTACTTGGCTGCAACGGAGGAACATTACCTTTCCTTCATGGGCGACGAAACCACAGCTCTATGAAATCATCAAAACTATGAAACCTGACCCCGTGTATAAAGTTGACAGTTACATCAAGGGTCAGGGTCATGCTGTCTTTCGACTGCCACCTTATCACTGCGACCTGAATCCAATCGAGTTGGTATGGGGCATCGTCAAGGGTGACGTTGGACGATCGAACACAACGTTTAAATTACGAGACGTTGAACAACTCGCAAAGGAATCCCTTGGTCGGGTAACAGTAGAAACATGGAGGCGTTGTATGGCCACAGTCGTTGACGAGATAGAGCCACGTTATTGGTCACGAGATGGACTACGGCCAGCAACAGTCCAACCTATAATAGTGGCAGTCGGTTCAGGCACCAGTAGTTCCGACGACGAGATCTATGGCATGAGCGAGTCAGATTGCGACTGAAATTATCATGAGACGGCCCCTCTAACGCTCTGTCATCCCCCCTACCACAGAACATGCAGTGCATGCGTGCTTGCGCTGTGCCTTCCACGGTTTGTCCCCCCTACGTGTCATGTACACATTTCTATACAAAATTACATGATAGTTTCTTAAAGAACTTCATCCGTCATGGGTCTTACAATAAACCAAATTCAGATTTTGTTGGGTACAGGTTATTCATGGTCAAGTACCGTATTGATGTTTCATACACTTTTCTGGATTTCGAGTTATTTTGCAATTCATCGTTCTCATTTGGAGTCAAACGGACTGTATATTAACTGAATTACCACCAACAGTGAACTTTTCTTGATGAGGCGACCCGTGAAGATCCGGGTTAGAATAGGTCTTCAGCAACCCATGCTTGCCGTAAAAGGCGACTATGCTTGTCGTGAGAGGCAACTAACGGGATCGGGTGGTCAGGTTCGCTGACTTGGTTGATGCATGTCATCGATCCAAATTGCGTGGATCGATGCTCATGATATCAATCGCTGGATTGTCTGGTCCAGACTCGATAATTTACAGACAACCGTCATATAGCTTGAATATTGATGAGTGCGGCGTAAAACAACAAACCAACCAACCAACGTTAGTCAAGACCCCTACCTTCAAGTTCGCATACATTTACCCCATCATATTTCGGACTGGGTGCGAGTTATACCATGTTGTTGCGCATACATGGTCGAAAAATACGGGGTGCTTAATCAATTTCCATGTGTACATTTGCAACAAAACATTCGAAAATACCCGGAGCTCTGCAACATCTGACGGCTGAAGCACGACAGAGGGTATCGGGTTTATCGTCCTTTCATACCGTGAGCACCCATTGAAAGGCTTTCTAGTTGATCAGGTTTCACTGTAATGTGTCCCACACGTAATCAAGACAGGGAAACACCGTTCAACTAGAACATCTTTGTTTCTTCTACAGTAAGAAGTCGCTTGTCAGCAATTGCAGCGGCTGGGATGGCCCATTTGTTCAAGGCGCACTCACGAATGTCCAGACATTTTCACTGTCGAATATCTTGAGACAGGCCTGTTCTTGAAACCGGAAATGTGTTAGAAGCTGCCTGAAATTCTGTGTTATAGATCTACAGATAGGTATCATATCCGTACTAAGCAAGTAGATAAGACGCAAATCAGGTCGAAAGGGGTCTCGAATCGCCCTCGTGTCACTCTTATATAATAAACTTCTCGAACAATCAAAACTGTCAAGTTTGTAAACAACTAAGGGCGGTAACTCTAAATTCCACCCACTCGCTGCCGCCAACAGCAGTTGACATTTTACCAGCACTTCAATCACCTGCTATCACCAGAGACCAAAAATCTGGTGTCTGCCACCACTGACACATTACAACAAACAAAAACAAACTTATACTGCCACATAACAATAATGAAATTTATTTTATATATTTTCTTCCGCCGTCCCGCAACCTCGAAAGCTGAGCATGAAGATGAGAAATAACCAATTAATATGGATGGCTAAAATGGAAACTTTAGACAGATGTATTGCACAGACCTATTGTATGATGTAACATATTCACATGGTCTGTAGATATATGTGTGAAGAATAAAACTCGAGGGTGAGTGCTTTAACTAACTTCGAACTTCTCTTCAGCAACCCATGCTTGTCGTAAATTGTGACTATGCTTGTCGTAAGAGCCGACTAACGGGATGGGGTGGTCAGGCTTGCTGACTTGGTTGATGCATGTCATCGATCCCAATTTCGGGGATCGATGCTCACGGTATTAATTACCGAATTGTCTTGTCCAGACTCGATTATTTACATACGTCCGTCATATAGCTGGAATATTGCTGATCATGGGTGCGGCGTTAAACAACAAACCAACCAAACAACCCCATGCAGAGGTAGACTCGACTGGCGCCTGGTCAGTATCACACGTGCAACACGTTCTCATGACAGCAACGACCTCACAGCATATTCTTTCAGTAAGGTAGTAGCCAATGTGTATCTATTTCGGACATTTAATCCTAATTATATTTTTTTACACTTCTTAGCAAGACTTAAAATACTTTGGCCGAAGTGCAAGTTCAGTTCCCTGTCGGGAAAAAGTCAAAGTCAAGCAGAAAGACCTATTATACACTTTCGATTTCTTTCTCTGATATGAATAGTCAGCAGTTATGGGAAGCATTACCACAGAGGTAAACATCTAAGACCTACATCTTCTCGGGCTATCACAGTGATATAACTGAAATACGTTTATAAAAATAACAGCGACAAAAACCTTTCCATATTCACGAGAATATATCCTGAAGGCAGAGCCGATAGTACGATTCCGACTGTTTCGTGAGGATGTGTTCATAAATCACCGTCAAATAGTGTTGATGATACCATGTGTTCGCGAAACACTGTGCGAATCCTGCCCCACTGGTACCCATCACAAACACCTGCAAAAGCAAGCGGCGTTGAATTCAACTATACCCAATAAGCGCTATCA